AAGGTGCAAGTTTTTAAAAAAAAAGGCTAGGATTGCTCGTTCAGGTACAGTCACTGTGTGCTAGCTCGCCCTCGCTCTCGTTCGCCAAAACTGCGATTCGCCTATTTTCGTGGTTGATTCTGCTGCAAGGGGCGAAAGTCAGTCGCGCGTGCCGGGGGTCGTACACGCGCGAGGGCTCAAAAATAGCGGCTCGTCTTCTCGCTCACGCAAGAACCTCCGGGCAATGTACTAGATCTTGTTCTAACATCTCCATGTGTCTCTGTCACAAATTTAACTATTCATCCCCCATCTTCACTCAGTTTTTCAGATCACTTCACTATTACTTTTGACCTGTTTTGTAGTGCCTCATCTGTAGTTGAATCAAAATCCGGTTACGTGTTTAATTTTTGTAAAGCTGACTATGACGGTATTACCTCTTTTTTGTTAGATTCCAATTTTAGTATTTTGTATGACAGTTATGACATTGAGTATATTTGGTTTTTGATCAAGTCTTTTATTTATCAAGCAATGTCATTGTACGTTCCCAAGGTTCTGGTTAAGCGACACCAAAATCCAAAGTGGTTTGACTCCGATATTCGCCATCATTTGAAGTGCCTGAGAACATTGAAAAGGAAGCACCGATCTAAACCATCTGTTCACAGAGAAAGCAAAATCCATAGTATGGAATCCATTCTCCAGAGCAAACTAGTCTTAGCTAAAACTACTTTCGAAAATAAACTAATTGAATCTCACCAGAAGACCAAATCACCTGAAGTATTCTCTTATATTCGCTCTGTTTCCTGTCAGAATACTATACCATCTACTGTCAATCTGGATGATTCCTTTGCTGTCACAGATGTCGACAAAGCTAGCCTATTCAACACTTATTTCTATTCGGTCTTTGTCAGAAGCTCTTATCAACTATCGCCAATCTCTGACTTGAAACAGCCACCATCACTCCTGAGTGAAATTAACATTAGTGAACTAGATGTGTTTCGTACTCTTAGATCACTCAACCCATCCAAAGCTATGGGATGTGATAAAATCAGCCCAAAGCTACTGAAAAACTGTGCTTTAGCTCTTTATCAACCACTGCACCATCTATTTTCGTTGAGTCTATCGCAAAGTTATCTCCCCTCCGAATGGCGTACTCATCTAATAAAACCGGTATTCAAATCTGGAAATCGTAATTCTGTAAGAAATTACCGGCCATTTCGTTGCTATGTGTCGTCTCCAAGGTCCTGGAGAAACTTGTTTACAACTGTACTGTTGAGTTCAGACATAACTCTATCTCAGTTCACCAGTTTGGTTTCCTACGTGGCCGTTCCACTCTGCAGCAACTGCTCTTATTCTTCAACATGCTAACTGGGTCCAGTTTTCAAACGGACGTTCTATATTTGGACTTTAGAAAGGCCTTTGATTCAGTGGCCCACAATGAACTCCTCTACAAACTATGGAATTTCGGCATCACTGACAGTCTCTGGTCCTGGATAAAGGCCTATCTGACCAATCGTCAACAGTGTGTCTCCGTCGGCCAATCTGTGTCAAGTACTTTACCTGTTATCTCTGGCGTTCCGCAAGGTAGTATACTTGGTCCTCTACTCTTTCTCATCTTTATAAATGATCTGCCGGATGTTCTCGAAAAATCTATGATGTTACTCTTCGCGGATGATGCAAAGTGTGTGATGCCTATTTCTTCCTGGCGTGATTGCTCACTTCTCCAGAATGATCTTACAATGCTATCTGAGTGGTGTACCACCTGGAGCATGTCACTGAATGAGGAAAAGTGTTCTGCTGTCCATTTTTCTAGTTCTACTAGACGCCCTCCTCTAATATTTAACTACAGTTTGAATGGAAAACAAATATGCTCCAAACCACAACAGAAAGATCTTGGACTACTTGTGTCAGCTGATTTGAATTGGCCCCACACTATCAGTTAATAACATCAAGGGCTTACAAAATGCTTGGCCTCTTACGCAGAGTCTTCTCCAGTTCTATGGCGGAGTCTGCCAAGCGGTCCCTGTACATTTCACTTGTAAGATCTCAGCTGCTCTATTGTTCTCCTGTGTGGCATCCTTACTTATTGGCTGATGTGAAATGCCTTGAGCTACTTCAGAGAAGGGCGACTAAGTTCATAGTGAATGATACTTCTATGGACTATCGAAATCGTTTAATTCATCTTAAACTGTTACCTTTGATGATGGAACTAGAAATTGCTGACATAATATTTTTCATCAAGTCTGTGAGGTATCCATCGGACCACTTCAACATTTTCGATTTTGTGCAGTTCAGTGCTCATCATACTCGCTCAACCTCCAATTTTAAGCTTAAACACACAGTTTCCAGGAACTATAACGAAAAAATATTTTACTTCAATCGCATGCCTCGATTATGGAACTCTCTCCCTCCTCTGGATATTAGTCTTCATCTCTCTTCAATCAAATCCAAACTTCACAATTACTTCTGGGACCATTTCATCTCCCATTTCAATCCCAATGACGAATGCTCCTATCACTATTTATGTCTGTGTTACAAATGCTCTTCACTACCTGTCAACATGCACTTTAGCAGTAATTCACTATAATACACTAATGTATATATTTGTGTGTTGGTTTTGTTTTCTCGGATGCTGACTCTTTGCCTGCAGTCCCTCAACTCAGTCTTTACAATTATTCTCATTATACCACTTTCTTTACATCGTCCTTGTAATAACTGTGTTGTAAAGCATATAATAATAATAATAATAATACTGCGGTTAGCACCACCACCCACGCGTTTAGGTGCTACTCCTCCCCAACCACTAGTCACACAGTTACTCCCATCTTCAGCCGCGTTTGCACAGGTACATCTTTAAAGTGCAAGCTGTTTCCTTCCTAACCCAGCTCTTATGAGATCAGCAGTTTCTAGCAATGAAGGTGGCTTCGTTGCGGTAGTGCTCGATAAACACAAAATCGTGACACCACGTGCTGTGCAACATCTTTTACTTGGTTGGAACATTCAGTGCCGCCTTGCTTGAGTTGCGACGACGAAAACCGAAGTTGAACAGGCTCTGTGAGCATGGTAGAAGGCCCTTGCTGGTCAAGCGGCTGCCGGGGCGGAGGTCTGACAACACTAGACGATTCTCGAAGCCTGCGGCCTTCATTCTCGACTTGACAGTCGTCCAAGCTCTCCACCGCCTCAGTCCTAACCCGCTCAATCTCAGTCTTCGCTCCGGACATGGCTGCATGCAAGGCCAAGAGCTACGCGCACGAGGCGACGTGCATGCGCCTCTTTACTAAAGCCGTTCCCCCGGTAGTCCATGTCAGGTGTGCGCGTGCGTGTGCGTGTGCGTGTGCGCGCGACCGCAGTCTCCCTGACTGCGCGCTTCGCGGTAAAGTTCACCCTTGAAATTACTCTTTGAAGTGAAGTTTACTCTTTTACTTTTTGAAGGATGAGTTTACCCTTGTAAACTTTGATTGGTGAAGTTCGCCCTTGCAATTTTTTAAGGGTAAAGTTTAGCCTTTTTGAAGGGCGAAGTTTACCCTTGCTAAAATTTTTCTTTGATGGGTGAAGTTCACCCTTTTAATATTTGAAGGGTGAAGTTTACTTTACTTTCTGAAGGGAGAAATTGACCCTCCAAAAACTTGAAGGGTGAATTTGAGGGCGAAAAAAGCTGGTATCAGCAATAAAAATTGCGTTAGACCCAATCTGAAACTGGGCCAGAGGATATCATCACCCCGCACCCCACTAATACTGGTTCAAACTCTCAACGCGAATGCTTGTCAGACTGCGACAAAATCTTCAATCTGTTCGTCTATCCTGCACAGTCAAACTTCTGTGGTCGAAAGTACCCTGGTACCGAAATCCCCAGTGGCCAACTAACAATCGCAGGATTGTGTCCACCCTACTTTCCTAGGTTCCAGCCCAGTTTGTGGAAGATGTGTCTCGATGCTGCGTTGTTAGTTGCAACAAATCCTCTGGATTTGACGCAGCATCCGGCCGATTTTGTCACAGTCTCCTTCTACAAGGTGAATATAATATAGACTTTCTATGTAGTCTGGTAGCTTGGAAATTTAAAACACGCAATCTGAATGGTTGATGGGCGGATGCTAATTCAGAAAAAGAGTCCGAAAAGGGGACTTAAATCTCACACATGTTCAATATGCGTGAACGCCACAACTCAGGGCCCCCACAGCTCTCTAATGCACATAGTTTCCCGGAATCGCCATCTCCATCTTCATAACCTCCTCCCCTTTATTCTACAATCTTCAAAATCTCGTAGATTTTGACCTTAACTTAGAATACATTGGAAGGGAATAGGCAGCGGCTGGTAGTTGTAACTCATTGCCTAAGTAGTTACTGGGTTACTAGTCACTAGGCCTGTAACCTGACTCCTGACAGAAGTTCCGATCGACTACAAGATTCTGAAGGTGATCATGTAAGTACATAGTGTCCTTCTCTATCGTTCCGCAAGGTGTTTGGTTTCCCGACGGGACTAGGGGCACTGTTGGTACGCAAGGTAATACCCAAGAGGTATATACTACGGAGGAGGGACTGTGCATGTTTGGAACAGTCAGTCGATCTGGTCTTCACCTTCCTCACTCTGACCTGCACAAACGGTTAGTAGCACATTGTCCTTGACTTTGAATTTTCGTTCTCTATTTAAGTGAAAGTACACAGTGTAACCCCTCTAATCTTGGCACCAGTGGGACAGAAGAAAGTGTCCGTATTACTGAGATATCCTATTTTCCTCTCTCCGTTGTTCTCTCTCTCTCTCTCTCTCACTCTCTCTCTCTATCTCTCTCACACACACCCACAAACTCTCTCTCTTACGCACACACACACACACACACACTCTCTTTCCACAAAAGTATGTCCACGATAAGCTATCTGTGATGAAACACTATAATGGAGCTCCTGTGCAACTGTCACGAAAATTTAACGGACCCCTCTAAGCAGGGGGGCATTGTGAATTTCGATCGCCTGCGGCCTGACGGAAAGTTTGTAGGCTGCAGCGAGGTAACGACATGCTCTCCATGATAGCGTGCATCACACGAAGTGTGTTATCAACACTTCAAATGTATTGAACTGCATCTACATCTTTACTACATTGTCACTACCTATGCTATCCCACTATTGCTAGCTAGTCTTTTTCATGACTACAAAAGTTCCAATCTGGTGTCAGTAGTTTTTGCCACATTAGGAATCCTTCTTGCCTTGATGGATAGAATAATTATGCGTAAGCCTTTGACAGGCAAAGAGTCAATCGGGTAAAACTGGTCCTGTCCGATCAGTGTAGAGGTCCATAGGTCTTCAAAACTGGTTTGACGAGTTACGACCCATGTCGTTAGGATCACAGGGTCGCCGGTGGGAAGGTGGAGCATTTGTCCGGACCACGATATCACTGCGCAGGCATCTAGCTATGAATTCTCCCAGTCGAAAGTCCATCCGAGGGTGTTTCCTCTGGGGTCTTTGAACCCAGCGACTGTAAACATACCCTGTGGCACGGGCATGAAGTTTATGTGTTGGCCCGCAAAAATTCTGGTGTTAGCGTCGTATTCGGTGATTGTGAGGATTGAGCAATATTCATTAATCCACACCTGTCCTTGGGCAAAGACAGGACCTTCAGCTGTAGGTGTGGAAAAACAATACAGACCGTTTAGTATGGTGACACAACAAAAAAGGGTAGCTTTTTCCCATTTGTTCCTCTCTAATCTGCTACGTAGTGTAATAAAAATAATAACGTAATGACACAATATTTGGTGTATAATTCGAGAATGACTCAGACCACACAGTGGTTGCAAACTATTCAGAGTTGTATGAGAAAGGTGTGGTTGAACATATCAGCGGTGTATTGCCAGTTTTCCTGCTCAAACAAGTAGCAATTACGTAATGATACACATGTTTTACAACAATCAGATCCTTGTTTCTACAAAAAAAACTTCTTCGCTTACTTAATCCACACGCCAGAAGGCTCTGTAAAAAAACAATGCATAATTATCCATGCTGTAGAAAGTTATATCTCTAACCGTGGTACAGTAGCCAACGGAGAGTAGTGCAGCAAAGACTGCAACTGTGGTTGCTGCAAGGCGACACATGGCGATTGAGCTATTTCCCAGGTTTTTCAGTCTCAGAAACTTTTTCCTCTTTATAGTATCTACCCATGCTACTGTATTTTCAGCCAAGAATCCACTCAGTAATAAATAGCGACAGAACCTTTGTGTATGTAGCCGTGTATGTAACTGATGACAGCACTATTGTGCATACTGTGAATGGACGAGACAGAATCGAAATTGCGCAATCATGTCTCCGTGCACGTGTGACTCTGAGTTAGTTTGCCAAAAATGTGTTGCATTGGAGACCACGAGTAAACACTAATATATAGCCCAGCCTATCAATTAGCGGTACCGTGCAGGGTTTGCACTTCAGTGCTTTTGAAACTTCAGTGCATTAACAACTTAATGCACACTTTTCAGTGTATTAGAACCCTCTCATGAATAATTCCCTTTGATGTTGAGTGTAGTAATCAAGTGTCTAAAACCCATAGTACTGGGTCTGCCAGGTATCTAAGTAGTAAGTCTCTAAGTTGCAAGTTAGATCACTGTGAAGAATTTAGATCACTGAGGTTTCACAAAGGTCAAATTCATAATAATCGACGAGTGGGGAGGCCCATTTGCTCCTAGCTTCGAGTCTGCCGCCGAGCAGGACGAGTTCATCATACAAGCATCGCAGCAACTGGACGGATATATCCTGCAAGCCCCGCCGGAGCAAGGCACTACCACTGGAGCGCTCAGCCCGCGTCGCTTGGACGATGCTGATCCGGACGATTTGTTGTTGGTCGCTGGTCAGGCGTTGAAAAAAGTGTAACAGACTATGTACTCCTACTTAAAATATACATCCATGGTGTATCAGTGAAGGTTCTTACTTTAGCAAGTGCTCTACTAGAACGAATGCGACTCACTTGCGAGCGTCACACATAATTGTGAAATTTCTATTTGATTTCATCTACGTAAAACGTATGTGAGACGGTGACCTCCTCATTGTTCTCGGCATAATGTTGGACGACTAAGGCTTTGCTCACTAATCCCTGCACAGGGTTATCACAGAAAGAGCCACTCAATAAACGTATTATTCACTGCTACTCACAATACATGCCACACCACCATGCTTCGCACTTGCTTTGCTTTGATACCTCACTTATAATTCATGCATGTGGATGCATAATACTTAGTGAGATTATGCATCTTTAGTGCTTGTAATTACCCCGGGCCACTCCTATAATTATGTTGAATTATGAACTCCTGTGTCCCACACAGAGTGGGATTTGCCTTTGCATGTATTGTGTCGTTTGCAAACAAGTCGTCTCAATGAGTGTCTTTACCATTATATCAGATGACACACTGATGCAACAGAGACATTTGCAATTGTCTATGTCGTGCACTTTTTTGACTCTCACGTTCCTTCGCCAAAATGTGCTGCATTTGTTCTTGTATACAGTAAGCTGCCATCGCAGTAGACCACTCTTCATAGTGTCGTTGGTTGGGCCATCTTTTATTCATGTGAAAAAGGTGCTGTCCTGGGTGTCGTTGCTTTGCTTGCTTTGCACTCTAACGTGCATTTAGGCACAGGACCCACAGCTGGTCACTCAGCAATGGTAGTGGTGAAAAATGAAGAGTTACTTGTGAAGCCAAGAGCTCTGTTTGTGTCTCATAGCTACCCCACAAGTACTGTAACCCTTGCTGCGTATATTAGAGCGTCGGTAGACGCTCCAATATAGGGATGGCAAGGGTCAAATCTCATGTGATCCGCATGCAAAACACCTCAAAACTCGGCGAAAATGACTCCCTAGGCTTTTATAAATCACTACCAATAATCTACAGGCCCATATCTAGCATCTAGTGCTTTCACTTTTCCATGCAGAGTGACATCATAACAAGTATGAAAAATAATTTCTTCAAAATGAAAGGGGATACAGGGATGGCTTGGAGCACCAAAAAGGAACAAGGACACAAAACTACATGAAACCATCCCTATATCTTTGTTCCATTTATTCATAGGCAAGGTATCAGAAAAAAGATATAGGGATGGTGTCATGTAGTTTTGTGTATATTTGCTGTGTAATGACCCCTTGTTTCTTCCTTTTTGGTGCTTCAAGCCATCCCTATATCCCCTTCATTTTGAAGAAATCCTTTTTCCACTTTGTACATAGAGGCATAGCTACCTACGTAAGAGCTGTGATGGTTTCTTTGGAAAGACTGATTCTCATATTAAATGGAGAGGCTGGTATTGGCACAATAATACAGAACACAACAATACAAAAATACTTCAGTTCAAGAAGCTTGCCAAAGTACACCAAGTGGGATGAAGCAGTTCTCAGGAACTACAATCTATGGCAGAGATGGTTGCTGCTACTTACAGTACCTAATATTTACAGTGCTAGCACAGTATATTATACGTTCTACTTCAAGTTCCTTCTTGAAAATGACCATTTCCAACCGACATTTCCAAGTAAAATCAACTTGCTTGTTCAGAGAAAACATCACAACGCTTTCTCTTACTTTAAAACCCCACTAGCTGAATTGGGTTCTTGTCTTCTTACAGCAGGATACTTGCCAGTAGAAGTGCCTTGTTCATTACAAAGTAGCTCCTTCACAGAAACCATTACAGCACTTACACTGACCTATACATTAGCTCTTTAATTGCCTTCCTGCACTATAGAGCAGTTTTGGAACTTGCAAGTAATGCTTTCTGGGGGGAAACTGTTTTCCAGTAATCAAACACGCTTGTTTGCCCTATGATATTGCTTTACAATTTCTCAGTAGATGGCTCAGTATAGACAACTATGTTGAAGGCTATACTTCTTCTTTCAGTTGCAGCTCTGCTGCTGACTATTGTGCATGGTAAGAGCAAGTATTCAATACAAGGTTGTAAATGTTTCCTCCCAGGAGACCATCCATCCAACAGCAGACTGAGTGCTTCACTGCAGGATCAAGTGCGATCCAAACGAACTCTATTTGAGTTGGGGCAATGTGGCAACGGTTGCTTTGTAACAATCGATTATCACACATACTATTTTGAAGGACGTGACATATTTATTTACTCGGTGAATCCATATATCCATACGGTCTAAACAATAACGTCAAGGGTTTAGGTAATATATCAAAGCTTATAGATCAGGATAGTTTGGTCGTATATAGTCTCTTCCATAAGCATGACAGAAAGTTTAGAAATAGGAACGGCAGAAGGAGTAAGAATATGGCATATAACGAATTGATCGATGAGCATCTCTCCAAATTGTTGGCTTCATAGAGGCGTCGTAACTTCAGCAAGGATATGCGTACATACATTCTAGGATTGCCTCGTAGGAAACTTGGTGAAGTGACTAAGGCATTAGATGGCTATCTACTGCGTAGTGAGATACCCGGGCGTATAAGAGTTTTTATCAGGGACCTAGTACGGTTTAGAAACTCTCCTGGTCATAACACTGATCACCTGAATGGTCAAGCTGGGAATAAAAGGTTCAGTATATGGTCCAACTGGGCATGTGATAACTGGTAATCTACGTATTGTGGATGATAGACAACTTCGTCAGCTTTTGATAAAAGGGCCTTCGTACAGGGAGCAGAATAATATTAACTGCAATAAAATAAGATCGATACTCCTGGATTCGATACGAGCGTATAAGGTGCAGTGGGCCAAGAGAGATGTCCGAATGTTAAATGAGTGGCATAGCAAGATCAATGAATGTATTATAAATAGGATAAATGTTCTCAAGAGGAAGAACCCATACATAGAAAACTGAAGATACTGAAGAATCGCGCTCATTTGGAATATTTAGAACAATTCCACCAGAAATATGTTATAGTCCCTGCAGACAAGGCGAGTAGTAATATTATTGTGGTTTGTAAGAAATTTTATGTTGATGTAATGGTAAACGAGTTGCAGAACATAGGCCAACCATCCACGTATATTGCCAGTAATTACAAGTAACGACCAACTTGTAAGGAAGCATCTGTTGGATATGCAACGTTGGAACATATATGTACCACCTGTAATGGAACAGTTGCCTACTATGTATTGGCTACCCAAGCTGCATAAAACCCCATATGGGAGTAGGTTTATTGCAGCGTCAAACGAATGTTCAACCAAGCCATTATCGGGGTTGCTGACAAGATGTTTAACAACTATTTTAACACACTTCAAAGAAGTGCTGGTATCTACAAAAATACGGGAGTTAATAACTGTTTTTGGGTTATTAATAATGCGCAGTTAGTCTTACAATCAATGCATACACTCAATGATATTTCGGCGGCTAGAACCATGGACACCTTTGACTTTTCCACATTGTATACAAGCATACCACATCATTCCTTGAAGAGCAGTATGAAACAATTCATAGAAGATGCCTTTAAGGTGAGAGGAGCAATGTATTTATCGATAACTAAGAGAGGTAAATGTTTCTGGAGTACCGACAATAAGTATGAAATTAATATCAGTAAAGCTCAGCTAATAGATATGGCCTACTATCTTATTGACAATATATATGTGTCAGTAGGTAATAGGGTGTTCCATCAATGCATAGGTGAGTGCTGCCCAGAGTGCGTGGAATAATCATGTTAACGGTTCATTTTTGAATTAACTCTCGGTGGCTCAGCGACGTAGATATGTGTTTAATGGCAGATATCCATCTTTAGCGCTAAATTTGGTGGTTGCACTTTAGGCCCCCCGTGTTGCACATTGTGGGGTAACAGAGAGAAGGAGATACATACACACACTCCAGACATAGTACCATAACCCTCATTGCCCATGTGCACGAAGGGTTAATTAAACTCACTGTCCAGGTCAGATTAACATTTGCTCCATTCTTCAATAGAACGTCAACTGTCTGCTTGTGTCCATTCTGACAGGCCATATAGAGTGGAGTACAACCATTCTGAGTATAGGAGAAAGTGTGACAGAGAGATATACAGGAGAAAGTCAAATGTGACATAATTGTGCAGAGAGATATCAAGAGAGAGCAGTCATACAAACCTTCATACAAGAGAAATACAAGCATGTTCATAACAGGACAAAATTCTGTTAGAACACACTATGCAGTGCATTATGTGGTTGAGTCTAAATAAAGGATGCTGTATCAGCATAGAAAAAACCACTTGCTGGGCTCAGGTGAACGCAAATAGACTAAAGTGCTATATTGTGCTGGGCGAGGAAGGATTTCTATTAGTCGTTTTTCATAGGAATAGTGTAGCAATCCTGTGATGAATCAGATTTCACTATAAAGCAAGGCTTCAAAAAAAGAATGTCCATAGAGTAACACAAAATCTACGTAATTGGTTGCCTTGTTCACCACCAACACACAAAACCCTGAGTGACCTTTGACCCCCAGTTTTAAAGGGTCAGAGGTTAATTTTATGGAATGCAGAAGAGAGAATAGAGGTGAAGCTCTCTCACAGCCTGCAGTTCTCATACCTTGTTCTGGTAGTTGATGAGAGCTCCAGCTGATATCAGTTTCTCCACAATCTCTGTGTGACCTTTTTCAGCAGCTCTCCCCAGAGGAGATGAGAGAGAACCAACTTTAACAAAGAAAACAGGAATCACTGTGAGTAAACAAGTCACTCACAAAGAGTACTGTTACACAAATTCAACATTGACATAATAAAAGGCACTGTTCACCCTCCATAGTCGACTTACTGATATATGCTAGAGTTACTGGCACACACAGAAAACTTGTAAAATTTCAGTTCGGTGCATGTGTGAATTATTGCATGTGTGAGTTTATAATTTCCAGGGAGACCAGGGAGAAAAATTCAGTTAAACAGGAATCATTGTGAGTAAACCAGTCACTCAAAAAGAGTACAGTTCAATGGCTTTTGAATATACATTCAACATTTACATAATAAAGGTAAGAAAGCTACTTTTGGCACTGTTCACCCTCCATAGTGGACTTAAAGAACATTATTTAGCAAGCTAACGCTAGAGTTACTGGCACACACAGAAAATTTGTAAAATTTCAGTTCGGTGCATGTGTGAATTATTGCATGTGTGAGTTTATAATTACGTTGGACATCACAATCTCCAGCAGTTCTCCCCAGAGGAGATGAGAGAAGATCAACATTCACAAAGAAAAAGTCAGTCCGACAGGAGTAAACTAGTCAACTAACTTAAACAAATGCAATGAATTTTTTGTGAAGGAATGTGAGAGTTACTGGCACATGCAGCAATAATTGCAAAAATTCAGTTACGTGCATGAGTGAGTATTCAGGATTGCGATAAAGATGTTCTTACATACGTACATGTACACTCTTCCTAAATGTTTTCCGCATATTATAAGCCTACTGTACACGGATTAAAGGAGTATCTGTGCTATATTATGATAATAGAAACTCATGTGTGTACATGCTGCAGACTAAAATGCCGACTGCAAAGAGGCTGCTCCATAGTTCGACGTCACCAAAGTACATGTAGAAGAAGCTACTGCCTGTTTCTCTAGTTTGTTCTGAAGGAGGAACTGCAATTAACAATATTGCGTAACAAATAAGCTGCAAGCATTGATAATTCCACAAAATGCATGCAATGTGATCTATGTAGCAGTTTTCCTAGGAAACTTCTCTACAGAAAGGGGGCGGGGTATCAGAGGTTTTGGTACCATGTTTCTTCGCATTACTGACACACACACACACACACACACCTGAATACAACCTACTACGTACAAAGCCCCTGCAGTCAACAAGCCTTGGTCTATGTGAATGTATAACGGTTTTGGAAGCTCTCCCCTCCCTCTGTCAGGTTTTCTTCTTTCTCCATGTAAAGCTGGCCATACACGTGGCAACTTTGTTGCTTCAACAAAGTTGCAGCAACTTACAAAGTATTGATAAAGTGGTGCAGAACGTGTAGATGGGCCCAAGTAACTGCTTGAAGAAATGGATGGGTTTTGTACATTTCTGGCAACTACTTGCCTGACCGTGATAAAAATGCCCGTCCTGATAGACCAAGCATATCAATACTTTGGAAGTTGCTGCAACGTTTGTTGAAGCAACAAAGTTGCCACATGTATGGTCTGCTTAAAAGTGTGAGCTGTTTATATAGTTTCCGTGCCTCCAAACACACAGCTGAAATTCCACACAGAGCAAACCACAGACAGTGACAGAGTAGGGTGTACAGTACATGACAATGGACTGCATGCTGGAGACACAAGACTTGGCAATGAATGGAGGGACGCCATCTGGAGCATTTTATCCACACAGGACTGTGTATATATGTCATGAGAGGGGGAGAGCAATCTCACTGGAAGCTACTCTCTACATTGAGAATGCTTGGCAAGCTAAGTCACCAGTTTAATCTTTTGTGCATGTTTCACGTGTGTATACAATCATGTACACATCAAGGTATGTGCAATGGCTGCAGTGGAGAGAGCGTCTGCATTACTGGTCAGTGGAACAAGGGTGTCTTCTTTGGTTTATAATGAGGCCTCATACTATAGTAAAGTAAATAACAACAACCATATTTTATACTTTGAGTGGCTGCTGATTTATACCAACCATTTCCTCTATTCAGTCGAGGAAAACTGTCCAGGAGAAGCATGTTGTTAGGTCTCTTTGGCTTGCTTGTTGTCTAGTACACATATAGATGTATGTATCAAGTAGTGATATACATGTAATATGTAAGTTGCCTAGCCATCTCTAACCCGTCACTTAAATTCTCAAGGCATATAGTGTCTTGGGTGTGTGTGTGCAAGGTATGCTGTGCTGATGTGGGCCAACAAGCCCGAAACAGCTGTCCAGAGCTCCATCACATGGTCTAATACCTTCATGCATGTATTATTGTTGCTTTGTGTTAGGGGGATAGCTATCAACTAGCTAGGGTATTGCATGATACATAATATCTCATATTTAAACATGGCCTCTTCTATATATGCATAATCATTCTTCCCTGTATGCATAAACATACTATTCTCCAGAACATGGATAACTGAGACGCTGTTCAGGCCTTAAAAGAGTGTCAAAGGTCTCTGTAGCTACTATTATGTACACATTATGAAGATTCATGAAGGGGTCACTGTACATTACGGGTTCAGAGTAAAGGGAGGGAGGAAGGTTGCGTAACATGTTGAGAGTATAATGGAAACCTGGTAACTCTGCCAAAAAGGGTAGAGGGCTTTCCATTCACACAAAGGACGGCCAGCTCTTTGATGATAGGAATACACCCCTCCTGCTATGTACTGGACTCCTACAGCTAGCTATATTGGTGCTGGATGGAGTAATACCAGTACGTTGTGGCACGCACCTATACCTGAAGGGGTATATAGGTTAAGAACGACGGCACCCGATAGTAGACATGCCTGAGCAGGAAGACGGGAACAAAGGAGTGACAATAGTGGGCGGAGGTCTGGTGGGTTCATTGCTGGCCGTCTCCCTCGGGCAGCGCGGGCTCCGCGTCCACCTCCACGAGTCGCGAAGCGACATCCGCCGTGCCGCAGGAGTCAGCGGCGTGCGGAGCATCAACCTGGCGCTCAGTCGTCGCGGCAGGGAGGCCCTGAGAGCAGTGGGTCTGGAGGACGAGGTGCTCTCAATGGCCATTCCCATGCGAGCTCGAATGATCCACCCACTGAGCGGGAAGCAGTACGCTATTCCCTACGGGACCAAACGGGACGACTGCATCTATTCTGTGAACAGACGAGCCCTCAACGAGCTACTCCTGACCAAGGCAGAGGAGAGCCCTAACATTTCCATTCATTTCGAGAGCCGACTCCTACAGGCTGACCTCGAAACAAACACACTGGTTTTTAGCGATGGAGCCACGGGAAAGAAGACGGTTCAGACCGAGTTTGTTTTCGGGTGCGATGGAGCCCACTCGACAGTTCGTAGACAGATGATGAGGTGGGGCCGACTCAATTATCAGCAGGAGTACATCCAGCACGGCTACAGGGAACTCACCATGCCTCCAACTCCCAGCGGGGACTTTGCCATGGAACCAAACTTCCTCCACATCTGGCCGCATCACGAGTTCATGATGATCGCTCTTCCCAATCGCGACAAGTCGTTCACCCTCACCCTCTTCATGCCTTGCAGCGTGTTTGAGTCGATTCGAAATGAAGATAGCCTCCTCACGTTCTTTCGGGCCCATTTTCCCGATAGCATCAATAAGATTGGAGTCGAGCGTCTCTATAAAGAGTACTTTGCTAACCCGCAGGGAAAGATGATATCAGTCAAGTGCTCCCCACACTTCATGGCTGGAAACACTCTCATTCTCGGGGATGCCGCGCATGCCGTCGTACCATTCTACGGGCAGGGGATGAATGCCGGTTTCGAAGACTGTCTCGTATTGACAGAGTGCCTGACAGAGAGTGGAGGAGAGCTAGCAGCAGCAGCTCAGTTGTACCAGGACAACCACTGGAGTGACACACACGCCATCTGTGACCTCTCCATGTACAACTACATCGAGATGCGCTCCCACGTCACCTCGCCCCTGTTCTTAATCAGGAAAAGGATTGACAATGCCCTCCACTATCTGTTCCCGTCTCTCTTTATCCCTCTCTATTCAATGGTGGCCTTCACACGTATCCCCTACCGTCGTGTGGTGGAGAGACACAACGTTCAACAGACGGTCATCAGACGAGGGCTGTGGGGCCTGTCCCTTGCCTCTCTGGGGCTACTGGGCTACCTGATCTTCAAGTTTTCTGGAATGGAAGTTGCACTTCGTTACCGCATTCTTCCCTGCGTCTTCAAATGTGTTGTTAATGACTACCTTCGACACTAATTATTGCTGCCATAGATTTAGTCTGTTTCCACTGGTTATTAACCTTCAGCACGCGTGCGCAGCGAGGGGTTTTGGTCTATCTGTCCATCCATCCTGTACGTCTGTTTATAAGTGGAGGAACATTCCTATATATCATAAGCTGCATCCATGCACTGATTTCAATTATGCTAAAACTTAGAACATTTTCCCCATTCACTGTTTCACAAGGAGCTGTGGGCAGCTCACCACAACACAGCTCTCAGGCTGGGCATCTGTGTCTTCTCTAACATATGCACCTTGCGTAGGTACGATACTACTATTTCTGCAACTTCGTCGCACAGAAACCCTAAGAGTAGAATATGGGCCCAATAATATACTTCTCCTAGTAGAAAGAGGTGGGTCAGAGGTGTGTCAACAGTTAACGACACATACACTTCGGACCACTAGGCAGCTCTATGTGGTGAGGTTGGCACACGCCTCCCAATCTCTACGACTATCCTTCCCCCAATACCCAATACCCAACACACACATACTGTAACAGTCCTTGCACATGCGCGTCAAGATTTAATTTACATGGTGGTTGTATTAGAATAATTATTATAGCTACCACTGACATCGTGGTATGTAGCAAAATATAATGTTAACGAAACCATAGAGTACAGTGGGGACTAAACCCACAGCTACAAATGCGGACATTATACACAAACCTTATGTCAATCTTCCCAGGTTGTCAGTCCTAAAGCTGGTGATAGATGCCACAGGCGGCGTCTAGGACCGTCCAAAGACGCCTGCAAATCACGCACGCAAGCGCGAACCACGGCAAATACAGACACATCACACACTTCATTTACACATTCTCTTCTCTACGTACGTGCTGTACTGACGTCCAAACTGAATAGACAAAAACTGCTGGGAGCAGAGTGCCACCGGTCATCGATTTTCGGAGAGACGTCAGGTAGCCGTCGTACTACCGCGCGCTGTGTGGCTACACGGCCTTTTTGCGTTCATGATACCTCACTTACGCCAAGATCTGCCACAAGTTCGGCCTGAAGTCTACTCAGCCCGATAGGGCCGATAGAAGCGTTCGTCTGCTGTCAAACTGCACGCTCACATCTCTCTGGTTGGCTAAAAATTTCCCGGGAAAAATCCCGTAACGTGACGTCATATGTCGTGCGCGGACAAGAATACTGAAAAATTTCATTCGCGTTTCCGCGTGGCCCGCGTTTGAAAAATCGTAACTTTTAAAGGTTTTCCCAAAAAAATATACCAAAAAAAGCGTTGTATATATCAAGCACATTTCAAGCTTTACAACGATACAAAAAAAGCTACTTCAAAAAATTGAGGCGTAAGGTTGGTTTTTGCGTGCATGGTCACACTATCCACGCTGACATCCAAAATCAGCAACAACACAGTATGCTAAACATTAATTAAAAAGGAGAAAATAGACAATTCAGTAAGTCTGGTATGCAGTATAGTAAAGCTACAGTGTTAAGTAGAGTGTTCTTTCGTGAAATTTTTTGACCTATACGTAGTATAGAACTATGAGCATCTACCTGTGTGGCAAGCGCATCTAGCATGCAAATCTCTGATATCATGGTATGTAGCAACGAAACCATAGAGTACAGTTTGCATACCAACTACGCTGACATACAAAAATCAGTAACAACACAGTATGCTAAAGGTAAAAAGGAGGGAATAGACAATTAAGTAAGTCTGGTATGTAGTATAGAAAAGAGATAAGGTAGCTACAGTATTATGTAGAGTTTTCTTTCAAATTTTGTATATTATACTCCTGTAAAAGACAATATGCTAAAGCTATGTAGTATAGAACTAGCTACAGTGTTAGAAGAAGTAGAGTCGAGAGACGTAGAGTATTTTAAACTTTGTACTGCTGTAGAAGTTTGACTATTTGCTGATGACCTTTGGTTCTTGCAACACTCATGGCTGTACGTCCATCCTGAGAGGTGAGGGAAAATTACACTCATTGACTAAATGAGAGACAGTCACACATTATTGCGGCACTAAACCCTCGATGCAAATGGGTGCTGACGTCAGCAGTCTAGCCTGCAGTAGGTGCACACAGCACTGCTAATTGATGGGCGTGGCCATGCTGGGTAGGCACACAGCAGAGTCACACACAACCACAAGACAATCCCTCTAATATTATGTTTAGCACTCAAACAAAGATGTGACTAATAAAGTAAGCTTTTTTACCTTATAAGGTAGATCCTTAGCTCCAGATTCCAGCAGGAGTCTAACTACTTCCAGGTGTCCTTTCTTACTGGCAACAAAGAGTGCAGTTGCTCCATTCTAAAGATTAAAAGAGAAACATATCTCTATACAAACAGTCAGGAAAGTATCCTACTGGTAGAGCTGATATTCCTTTATTTTTAATTCTACATTTCTTTCTCTCTTTCACACTACGCAATCTTCACCATTCTTTCAGTCTACCAGGAATGAGATCGGGAGCGAGATGCACGGATTAATTAATCTGAGGTAACCCGGTGAAGAAAGCTATCCATGCCAGCGCTTACGTGCTGACATTACTTCATTTCTACCTTTCTTCCTCCCTTTCACACTATGCACTCCTCACTATTCTTTCAGTATACAAGGCATGAGATCGGGAGAGCGAGATGAGCAGATTAAAAACCAACATAAGGTACATATGCAACCCGGTGAAGAAAGCTATCCCGTGCCAGCACTTATGCGCTTACATTACTCTTTCAGGCACATGATGGGCACACTCAGATGTGCTCATGGTGACAGGTGGAGCAGTGAGTTGGTGTAGCAGGACTAGTTCTGGCTCTTCTACTGACTGACCAAGGCAAGGAAACAATTAGAGATGTGGCAAGGAAAGAAGTATATTGCGCACTCACTCTACTCCGCAAACTGTGTCTGATTGACCAAGGACAGTGTTACAGGAATTGGGGGGTTTATAGCGGCAAATGCAGTACTATTCTCGATTATTCCACCGATTCTGTCTGTATAATACAAGTGGAAAACTCATTCTATGAAATGAAATACGGATGTCACATCATGAAAAAGAAAAAGAAAGGAACAAGAGGATGCCTACAAAATCCCACCCCCATCCAACATCTTTGTGTTCAAATCTTTGCTGGTAATGAATGCATGTAGCATACAAACTATAGATGTCTACATAAACTAAGAAACAACAAAGATCATCAGATTTCAGAACTCATGAAAAGCACTAAAGTGCAAACCTCAGTGAACTGCGCATGCGCTGTATCGCTAATTTGATGGGCTGGGCTAATCTTGTATGCGTTAATCGAGCGACCGGAAATGCTCAAACCAATACCCAAGCTTCCCCTGCAGGGCAACTAAGAAATTACTTATAAGACCACTGTAAGTTGGACACGCACTCACATTTTCACACTCATCATCACACAACAGGCACTCCTTCATCTCCTTCCTCCCCCTATGCTTACCCAGCAGTGTGTCAGTCAGTCAGTCAGTCAGTCAGTCTCAGTCAGTTAGCTCAGTCAATCAGTCAGTCTGTCTGTCTGTTCCCATGTTTTCTGTCAAAGGGTGCAACTAAGCGGCCAAGAAGCGGTAAATGGCTTCAAGGCTACATTTGCTTAACTCGTCATTCAAAAGTTAGTGCGTTCAAAATATTATCGCCATAAGCATGGCGAACTTTCAGAACTAGCCATCCTACATCTTATCAAAGCATAAAGCAGGTTCAGTGGTGGAGAGAATCACTGGGAGGTCAGGTTCAGACCTATCTTGTTCAAAACTATCTCAAGACCTAAATGCAGCAAATTTACCGACACTTTCTGCTGCAACAAAGACCTAGGCAGCAAATGTGGCAGGCCTCACAGTCTAAGGTGTGCCTTTTCACTTTTCTTAATCAGCTACAACCAGTTTGCTGGGAAACCACATGGTTTTATTAAGGACAGTTTCGCCTGGGTAGAGAGTAACCACGGCCGGTGACCTCAACCAAAACAATGACTTGCATCCCTCTGGCTTTCAAATCTGCACACATCTAAAAAATTGCCGCTTGAAGAATTTCTGTAATACTCCTCTGATCAACCGTTAAGAACTAGCTATAAAGCCAGGCTCTAAAAAATAAAATGTCTAGAGATACACAAACACCTACATAACTGGTTTCCTTGCTGTACCTAGGCTCTCCTCTTCTGAACCTTGCATTTGACCTTTTACCCTCACTTTACAAGGGTCAGACGTTACTTGCAATAATTTTACGTGATCAAGTAAACTATAGCGCACCATACATGGGACACAGCAGATGTACGTGAGTGATATGTTACTCACAGAAGAGGGAGACCACAGAGGTGAGGCTCTCTCACAGCCTGATGTTCTCATACCTTGTTCTGGTAGTTGATGACAGCTCCAGCTGATATCAGTTTCTCCACAATCTCTGTGTGACCATCTTCAGCAGCTATCCCCAGAGGAGATGAGAGAGAATCAACCTTCACAAAGAAAAAGTCAGTTCAACAGGAATCAATGTGAGTAAACTAGTTAACTAACTTGAACAAATGCAATGAATATTTTGGCGAGGGAATGCGAGACTTACTGGCACATGCAGCAACAATTGCAAAATTCCAGTTACGTGCAGGAGTGAATTTAGAATTACGATAGTGGCAACGTTGCTACCTACGTATGTAGAGAAGTGGGAACAATTGAGGTAACAAGGTAAGATCACACTTTGCTAGAAAATTACAATAGGAATCACTTAATGTTAAAATGCTTGGAATAACAAATTCTGAGTATAGTGTCAAATACAGTGAAGGACATTGAGGATTGAGGAGAGGAAAAACAGAGAACAATGTCTTGCCCATTGCAGCAAAAGACATAATGTAGATACTATGTAGGTAAATGGTTAGCATTATTGGCGAACAGAGGCGATCCAACTATGGCCATTGGTGAATATTGAATATGCATTACAAAGAAAGTGCTGTGTTTTCTGATGTTTCAGCCGTGATCCACTGCTGGTCGTTAGTGTCTGTGACAAAGTATCGAGCAAACGTCTCTGTCGGTCAATGGTTCTCATCTGTTGCAGGTGTGAATCTCTATCCTCACATGAATCGTGCTGCACTCCATGCTCTCTCCCGTGCCCGACGTTGCAGAAGCAATAAGCTGTCTGCGACAAGGATGGTCCCTGGCGCTCCCAGGCCTCCACGGTGATTTCGTTTAGATTCGGAATCATGTACAATAATTACAGCATGAGTGGCAGCATTGGATGGACAATTTGGCCCGTTGTAACGACTAGAGTGGCTTGCTCCCGCTCGCCAACAAGACATTGGTTTTATGTGTTAGAACTCGTTGCTAAAGAGAGTGAACTATAGGATTCTGTTTTCTACTTCAGAGTAGGCACAAGACAATACTAAAATGGTAAATCCTATAGCAGTAAACACACACATTCCAGGATGAAACATTTAGCCGTAAGAAAAACACTTCATGAAAAAACATGTTTATAGCATACTAGCTCAGAGGAAAAGAAAGAACCTCCCCCACCCAAGCACACAAAACACAGACAATAACATACCCAAGCGTACAAAAACACAGACAATAACATATAAACAGAAAGAAAGAGGCAGGACCCTGGGTGCCCAGCCTTGAGAACCGGGGCGGTAGGTTAAAGAGTCTTTTATGGGCCCAACTCTCCCTACACACCCAGTGTCCCAACCTCCCTTACACATAGTTATAAAATAAATAGATAGAAATCATGTACAAAAAACGATAGCTACAGGATAAAAACAACAGCCAGTAGAAAAATAGAACAAATGGAGCTAGGCTTGGATGTGGACTCAGCCCTTAAAATCTGCCAAATACATGCTACAATGTTTGTTCTCCTTGGCTAGTGTGAGGCCATCGCTCAAGCAGTAGTAAGCAGAAAGAGACGAGGCATGGTTCTGTAATAAGATGCATGGGCAATGAAGCACTCACACCTACAGAACTACTTCCGCTGCAAAAATGTACGCATTTCCGGTTTTGTTGGCGACCCGACTGATACTGAAGTAAGAAGACAACAACACTGGAGTTCATGCTCACTTTTCATGTAACATGTGATGCCTCCATGGTACACGATATGGCAGAGTCTGGTCAAGGTAGCCCCATGTAATGAACATAATTATAATTTGCTTGTTGACTTCCTATTGTGCCAAAACATTTGAGTGTCTCTGGCTCCACCCAGTGTTATTATGGCATGGTTAATCGCTAATTGGAGTTAGCACTCTGTAGTAGTAAATCGGTTGGTATAGGTTTTAGCCCCATGCTCCAGACATAGTACCATAACCCTCTCTGTCCATGTGCACAAAGGGTTAATATAACTCACTGTCCAGGTCAGATTAACATTCGCTCCATTCTTCAACAGAACGTCAACTGTCTGCTTGTGTCCATTCTGACAGGCCGTATAGAGTGGAGTAGCACCATTCTGAGTATAGGAGAAAGTGTGACAGAGAGATATACAGGAGAAATTCAAAAAAGTGACATAATTGTGCAGAGAGAGCAGTCATATAATTATACAAACCCTCATACAAGAGAAATACAAGCATGTTCATAAGAGGACAAAATATTGTTTGGTTGTCCCTCCATTATGTCCAGATTATGGTTGTTGCCATGCAAGTCCCGTACCTACGTAGCACCACACACTCACACATATTGGAAATCATTCTACACGAAGAATCACTTGCGAGTGTTAATTTTAAAAGTGTGAGGGACAATGGTGAATGGAGAGCCAAGAATGCAGCATTGTAAAACTAGTTACTTGAGCGAACATGTAAGTCTTAGACTGCACACAATGCAGTCACAACCAAAACTGTCAGAGAGGCCAACACATGTGCATTATATGAGGAGCACACTCATTAATTCTTTGCAACAATATAGGGCTATATTACTTGTATCACAGTATATTAATTCAGTTATTGTGCATACCCCTTGTGTACAGTGTCTCGTAACAGCAAGACTCTCCAGGTATGTGTATCTTTAAGATGTATGTGTGTGAAGAACAACACAGCAAAGAAATGATCAAAACATATGTTAAAAATTCCTCCTAGGCAATTCAAGGACAAGTGTCAATTCTCTAATGATAGTAAAGACGCAACAGAATATACAGTTAAGTACAAAAGTGAAATATATATAGTGATACCCTTATTAGCCATATTCAATGGATTCATGCAGTCACCATGTGGACATAAGCCCTCATTGTGGTCCATACACCAGTCATGATTCAACTGGAAGAGACTTAGCTCCTCCATACACAATATATTAGAGATTTTAATGAGACAATTTTTCATCAGCAAAACACTGCAATTTTGAAGGTATGTCACTTTCAGTTTCAAACAGCTAGTGCAGTACCCAACAACAGCTCAAGGCACACTGATAGACCATGTGTACTATAGGAATACATCTGGCAGTAACATATTTTCAATAGTCAAAGTGCAAGACACCTACTATTCCGATCATGACACTGTGCTTCAGCATTCCATTGAGAGCATCATAATATCAGCATTTTGTTCCTCTGCATATTTTTAGCCAAATTTCTGTCAAAAGCATATCAGAGCCTAAGCCTCTTTTCACACCCTCATACTGCCTATGTTACTACTTAAGTCAAACAAACCAATAAGAAACCCATAGAAACTTACGAGACCTATGAGACTTCATGAGACCAAGAGTACATAAGAGAGAGTATGGAACTGCGTATACCTGCATACAAACACTGTGTACAAACTACGTGACACGCACGTGATGAACTTTGTAAAACAACACGTAATTTAAGCGATGACATTTACTAGTTGATTACGGGTTGTTTTACAAAGTTTCATCACATGCGTGTCACGTTACTTTGTACACAGTGTTTGTATGCAGGTATATACGTAGTTCCATACTCTCTCTCTGTCATGTACTCTTGATTAGACCTATGAGGAGTCCATTCTTCAATCCATCTAGCAGTGCCATAGCTCAAGTCCTAGATTCTCATCATGACACAGTTTAGTGCACTATTCCATTCAGATATTTTAGCCCTCCAGAACATACAGCATCATAAGTAGTACCTACCCAATACCATGTAGCAATGCCTAAGAACCCATGAAACCCCAGCATTCATACCGAGTTTCAACTAGGCCACTCAGAAAACAAAGAACCCTGCAATACCCAAAGAACTAATATATTCCTAAGAAATTTTCCTATTGTTTTGAATCAAAAGATGAACATGAAAAGGTGTCAGTGAATATAAAGGTCCTAAACGTTCTAGACCCTATCACAGTACCAGTCAAAAAAATGCACCGTAGTTGTGTTACAACTCCAAAACTTAAAGGTGTTGCTATTGTATTGTACTCAGTGCTTGCATGAAGTTTTGGCCTTTTACGACCGGTACGCATGTGGCACTGGTTGGTGGTTGGTTTAACCACTGTAGTAACATTACGTACAATCCTTGCTGTAGTGTTGCTACATAAGTGCATTTTATCACTGTAGGACGTGTAGCTACACCTGTCTGTACATTGTATGCACCTACCGTACATGGTTAATACATAGGTACGTACGTAGTACAGTCACATTTGGGTAGATTTTTGTTTCTCACTGTAGTTTATCTGTAACTACACACCTGTAGAAAGGTCTTGAAACAGTTCAGGAAATAGTAATTACTCCCTTTTTCATGTGTACATTGTGCTGTTGTGTAGATCTGGTTTCTCTACACTAAAACCTGGAAATACGGTGCATTTTTTTGACTGGTACCGTATGTGCAGTGTAGTCTGCGAAGTGAGGTGAGCTCTGGTTGCATGCATAATGGACTTTCACATTCCTTTAGGTTGCAGGGTTCAGCCCACTTATATATACTGACTATATGTGGCGGGGAAAGTTCATGCACATAATATTCCATTTCACCGCGCAGTACTACGTACATGCCCAGTGCCGAGGGTTTGCACTCTAGTGCTTTTCGTTATGTTCCGTTATGAATTCCTGTGAGTTATAAATTACTGTGTCCCACACAGAGTGGGATTTGCCTTTGCATGTATCGTGTTGTTTGGAAGCAAGTCGTCTCAATGAGGGTCTTTACCAGATGACACACTGCAACAGAGACAAAACAAAGTTTGTAATCGTCTACGCCGTTCACTTCCGACTCTCGCGTTCCGTCGCCAAAATGTGCTGCATTTGTTCTTGTATACAGTAAGCTGCCATCGCAGTAGACCACTCTTAATAGTGTCGTTGGGATGGTCCATCTTTTATTCATGTAAAAAAGGTTCTGTCGTTGCTTTGCTTGCCTTGTACTCTAACATATTAGTTATGCATTTGGGGACAGGACCCACAGCTGGTCACTCAGCAATGGTAGTGGTGAAAAAAAGTCAGTTGTGAAGCAAAGAGCTCTGTTTCTCATAGCTACCCCACAGGTATGTTGTGTACCGTCACCCCTGCTGCGTGCATAATGACACGTGACAAGCACATGATGGGGACACTCCATGGTGACAGGTGGACAGTGAGTTGGTGTAGCAAGACCAGTTCTGGCTCTCTGACTGATTGACCAAGGCAAGGAAACACTTAGAGATGTGGCAAGGTACTGACTTCAGCTTAGCCCTCAAAAATTGTCATACCTCCTTTATTATACATCCAATTGTAAAAGCGCCAACATCATTGGAGTCCTCGCAATTATACTGTTCTGATGATATGCCTGACTGCATTTTTCATAGGAATAGCGCTAGGACAATAGCAATCCTCTGATTAACCAATCAGATTTCAGAACACACAATAAAGCAAGGCTTTAAAAAAAAGTCTATAGAGCGACACAAACATCTACGTAATTTGTTGCCTTGTTCACGACCTACACACAAAACTCTGAGTGACTTTTAACCCCAAGTTTTAAAGGGTCAGAGGTTAATTTTTTGGAATGCAGAAGAGAGAGAATAGAGGTGAGGCTCTCTAACTGCCTGCAGTTCTCATACCTTGTTCTGGTAGTTGATGACAGCTCCAGCTGATATCAGTTTCTCCACAATCTCTGTGTGACCTTTTCCAGCAGCTATCCCCAGAGGAGATGAGAGAGGATCATCCTTCACAAAGAAAAAAGTTAAACAGGAATCATTGTGAGTAAACCAGTCACTCACAAAGAGTACTGTTAAATGGCTTTTGGATACACAAATTCAACATTAACATAACAAAGGTAAGAATTCCTTTTGGGACTGTTCACCCTCCATAGTCGACTTAAAGAACATTATTTAGCAAGCTAACGCTAGAGTTACTGGCACACACAGAAACCTTGTAAATTCAGTTCGGCACATGTGTGACGATCAATATTAACCTAATAAGGTTGAGAATTTTACAGAAGCTACGTTTTGGCACGGTTCACGCGTCCATAGTCGACCCTTAATAAAAGAACGCTATTTCGCCTAGCAGCCCGAGCCCTAGCCCTAGCCCTGCCCTCTAACTAACCCAGCTATATACAGTTACTGCACACACCAGAAGCTGTAATTTCAGTTCAGTGCATGTGTGAATTATTGCATGTGTGAGTTTAGAATTACGTTGGACATCACAATAGGTGGCAACATTGCAGTATACATTACCATATAGAAGTGCAGGCATTTCAGGTAATAGGTATCATCATTGGAGTCCTCGCAATTTTCTGTTCTGATGATATGTCTGACTGCGTTCTAAACCTTATCAGTCAAAAGTTAGCTACATGTACCACAAGAACAGCGTGCCTAAATAAAGGATGTGGTACCTGTATCAACATAAAAAACCACTTGCTGGGCTCAGGTGAACGCAAATAGACTATGCTGGGTGGGGAAGGATTTCTGTTAGTCATTAACCCTCGGCGCGCGTGCGCAGCGAGGGTTACAGTATTTGGTTCGTGAGTGTATGCGTCTGTCTGTCTGTCTGTCTGTCTGCTACCCAAGAAATCCGCCAAAGCGGGATAGTAACGGGGATAGTACTACACTGGCTTGAGTTTACAAAAGGCGATTTTCATAAAAATACTGTGTTCCAAAGTTATGGCATGTGAAGAAGCAAATATGCAAATTAGCACAGGCTTACCTCGACCAGGTCCGCTTGCTCTTTGTACCTTAGAGGGACAAGAAGTCACAACGGCATCGACTCCCGCATGCTATCTACTACTGTAGCTAGCCCGTGTCAAACTCTCCACGAGCTACTCTAGCGGGAGACCACTAGTAAACACGCAATTAGCGGTATCAAGCATGTGCAGTTCGCCGAAGGGTTAATTGCTCTTACGTGCTTTCATTTTTCATAGGAATGTAAGGAAAATAGATATCCTCTTATTAACCAATCAGATTTCAGAACGAGAGTGTCTATAGAGTAACACAAATATGTACATAGTGTTGCGTTCCTCACCACCTACACGCAAA